TGTGTGTAAGATACATGTAGAAATTCAAAGACTGTGTAAAAATGAATGTGATATTCTTTTTTTTTTAAGATTTATTTATTTATTCATTCAGAGCTGGGGTACAGGCCAGAGTTGCAGGGGGTGAGAGTATTCACCAGAGACAGAGTGGGGAGCCGAACAGGCAGAATGACAGAGTGCACTGCTAAAGGGAGCAACAGGCGGGTCAGAAGGGGTCTGCTGCGCCATGTGGATCACCTCCAGGCAAGGATAGAATTTGCACTGAAGCGGCTGCTGCTCGCTTGCTGTTCTGCGTCCTAACCCATTGTACCACAGCCACCGGGGAGGGCCCAAATATATTCTTTATATAAAAATACAATATAAAATATATACTTTTTATATTGCAGGTTGTTGAAATAATGAAACCATGCACATATTGATTTAGCTATTAAAATTATTAATTTTGTATGCTATTTTTACTTTTAAAATGTAGGTACTAAAACTTAAAAAAGTACATATGGGACTTATATTTGTCTTGGACACAGCTATTCTAGAATATAGAAATCTCAAAGCAATAGTTTATCAAAAAGAACCTCAATTTTTAGGTTAGTCAAAATCTGGGATACTTTTCATCATAAATTAAAAGCGATTGTGGAAAAGAAGGGAATCACAAAGTACTAAGAGAAGCCATTAGAACTGCCAAAGGAGTTCTTGTAGTTTCATGTTGCTTTAATATTTTTTTGAAAAAAATTTGTTCCTCCTGGGTGTCTCCTTTAGCTTTGGGATAAAATTTAAAGAAAGCTCTCTCCCCAACCCCCCAAGACAAATCACTGACTACAGAATGAATGGACTTGAGTAAGATGGCTTCCAGTGATCCAAATATCTGGGCTAGGGCACTTTGTTTATGTGGGCAGGGAAGTTTCCACCAGATGCAGATGTAGGAAGGCACTACCAATGTCATTCTATAATTTGTCAGCTAGTAACTCAGGAGGGAATATACTAGCACATGCACAACTATTCTACCATGAGCTTAAAACAAGACATAAAGAAAGAGACATTCCATGTCTGTAGATGGAAGTTATTGGTTCTTCTAGTATTTGCACTAAAAGATGGAGGCACCCATCGAAAGATGGAATTTATACCCAGAAATTTGGAGAGGGATCCACCTAAATTTATTGTCTGTATTAGGAAGAGAGAGCTTATTCAAAAAGTTCCTGTTTGGGTATAAAAACATTATTGTTCTAGGATGTGTTCTAGGACACAGCTATTCAAAATGTGATCTAAGGACCAGTGGCATCAACAATATAAGAATCAGAATTCCAGGCTTTCTCTTAGGCCTGCTAAATTAGAGTCTATATTTTAAATAAATGCTTACATGATTTGTATTCACATTAAACACTGAGATGTGTGATTTTTAAGATGAATTGGTTTGGTTTAGGCCTCTAAAAGTTTCTGACTTACTACGAAACATCCAGTAGTATGCTACAGTCAAGCAAGCACTGGAGAGCTGCATTGTCAGAAATTTTGTGTGTTGTTTATTTCATATTTGGAAGCTTGAGAACAGCTATTGTGAGAATATTTGTATCAGAGATATTGGTAAGATCCACAAGTGTGCTCCTTTTGTATAGGAGAGCAGTTGATGGACATCTACCAGTCTTCCAATAGACAAAAATCTCTTACTTTTATCTGGATTTAAAATAGTCTTCTATGGGATTTTGAACAGAGAAACATCCACATTGGGGGTAGGAGTAAGACAAGATGAGCTTCACTTCCTACCACACTATCCACCTTGTGACTAAGAAACCATTATTCTAGAGTTCGAAATAATCTGAGTTTGAAATAAAAACAAGTGGGAAGGGTATCTAGGAGTTGGTCGTACTTAAAATCCAAATAGGCTGAGGGGAAGACTCAGCAAATTTTCTTGGCTGAGAGCTGGACAGTTTCAGAACTGAAACCTAGGTGTGGAGAGTTTCTGTATAAAGGAAAAGATAAGAGTAGGTAGATTCTGTTCCTAAAGATGTTTGCATAGGAAAATTTATGCTTTTACTGGCTGTCTTCTGTTGAGCATAGAATTATTAAGCAAAACAATAACTCCTCCCAAGTTAATGGCAGACAGGTATGCAAACGTTACATGGTATTACATATAGAGAGTGGTTCTTAAAGTGCGATCAAGTATGTTCACAGCACTTGAGAATCTATTATAAATGTAAATTCATGAACCCCAACCCAGGTCTAAGGGATCACAAACTGTGGGTGATGCAGCCTAGCAATTTGAGTTTTAACAAACCTTCTAGGTAATTCTGATGCACATCACTTAAGTAGGAAATGTCTTTAAGTTCCTTGTTTTTGTTCAGTAAGAGGATCCATTTTCAACTTTAACCCTAAATAGGAAGTGATTCTTTTTGCAAAGGAGTTTCCCATGTAGCTGGAAGATGGCTGAGGAAGGCACAGAACAAAGATGAAGAAATTTACAGGGCTAGGTAGATGTTTAGAAGCTTTTCCCAGGGACAGTGGCCAAGGGGCAGGCAGTTGGCATGTTGCCAAGACTCCTGGAGAGTATAAATCTTCCTAGAAATCACTTGGGAAAGTTGCATTTAAAGTGAATTTTGAGGAAGAGCATGAACACAATCTAAACACTTCTGAAGTATAAGTAAAATTTTTGCTATAAAGAGATATCTTAGCTCATGTAGGGACAAGAACAGAATGTATTATAATAATAAGAAATGTCAGTTTTGCCTTTCTGATTAAGCGCTCTCACTGCTTGCTTACTAATGACAGTGTGTAACATATAATGAGTGTTTACCCTGCCAGGTACTGTTGTAACTATTCTGTGAATTAGCTCATGGTTAGCCCCTTAACAGAGAAGAGGAAATTAAGGCCACAAGACTTGAACTTGATGATGTAGGTTTCAAATTCAGGAAGTTTGGTTCTATAGCACCACTGCTTTAACTAAAATGCTGCTCAGTGACAACCTCACAATACATTAAATATTTAGAGATTTGAAGTTGCTATTTCAGGGTGTGATTTTTATAGTATTTATACATCTCAAACTATAGAACTTCTCCATACATTCTTCGCATCTCTCTATAGAGCTGATGACTGGACCTCACCTAACTAATGTTATCAAGTTTTGGTACTCAACATGGGTAATCAGGTAGGCTGCACTCTTCCCAGAGATCGCTTTAATAAGGTCACAACTACAAGCATTACTCTGAGTTCCAAAATAGGATGTTATTTAAAATACCTTGTCACAAGAGGAGATTTAAAAAAAGTCCATGATACAGGAGAAGATAAAGGGAGATGGAGATATTCCATGGGACTAACTGACTTCAGCTATGTCCAGTCAAAAGACCAATACCTACTCCTAATCCAGGTGTTTGTTTTGGTCTGAAATAAATTTGGTAAGCTTACTTAAACTCTGGCATGTATCTTCAAATGGAATTTGCTTTTAAGTATTACAGAAATAATGGCTGTATTGGTTTTGTTCACCACATCTATGCATGGTCAAACACACTGCTTGCTACATGGCAGGTGGGCATGTGTTGATATTTGTGAAAAGAGGTGAGCAAAATAATGAAGAATGGAAAAAGGGAAGAAAATTATAAAGATTATCTTTAAGCTTTTAATTTTTTTTCTGATAGAAGTCATAAATGGGTGTGGAACCGTTGAAGTAACTGCTTAAATGTTTACAAGAAAGGGCGTTCAATTAGAAATCTATTCACTTTAGGTGGGTACAATGTGTATGTATGAAGTAAAACATACAGGAAATCACAGCTTTGATCCAGTCCAGATGCCTGTGGGTAGCTTTATGCAAGCAAGTTAATTTTGCAGGCTTGCTATTCTAATTTGGTCACAAATTCATGCATGCATATACATATTCATTTCTTCAATAAACATTTATTGTGAGTCTCTTAAGTGCTAGGAACCCTGCCCCTCACTCCTCTTCCCCACTTCCCATTCGGGTTCGGGTGGTAGTGGAAAGCCTGCAGGTTTGTTTATTTGTGCATTTGAGGTTGGGGAGGTAGTCTGAGGTTAGAAGGGAGCTCCAAAGGGGTTTATTTAAACTGGAAAGTGCTGTAATTCGCTATCAGAGATTTGCGTTAGATAAGCCACACCGGCAGCTGTGACGTCATGGAAAGGATACCGATTTCAAACTAACCTCTGCATAGGTCGCAGACACGCCGCTTTACAAATTAAAGTGTTATATAAGTTTGCCAAATATAATTACTCAATCCTAATGGCACAACTTGCGACAGGAGACGAATGGAGAGTTGGTACTAATTTAAAGCCGCTGTTCTTCCGCTGAATTAAAAACAAAGTTTGTTAGCGAGTGGGACAACACGCTCCCCTCCCCTACTCACCCCTTGGGTATCAATGGAAAGACTGAAGAAATATTTATTTATTCATTCGGTTTATTGAGGTAAAGCATCATAGTATTTGTTTTAGGGGTTATAGGTTCAAAGCTTAGCAAGCCAATGGAGTCACACTATGCCCACCACCAACGTCCCAATAAACCCAAGACTGAAGAATTTTTAAGTCATTTACAAGACTGAAAAAATGTGGCAGTGGACATGGTGGGTTCTTCAGCTTTCCTGTTTTTCATACTTTTCTAGACACTCCCAACCTACTGTACAGATCCTTTTGGGAACACTAGCAGGATGAAAAGGAAAAATAAAGGGAATATAACAAGGAGGGTACTGCCAATACAACCATACTTTAGAGGAACGGCATTATTTCCCTAAGGTAAACTGTCGTACCGGAACCACGAAACACAAAGCCTGACGCGGCACGGAGGACTTAACTGTAACACCGCCACGGGGCACTAGCGTCTTGAAAGCCTGATTAGGTTCCCGCCTCTTTGGTTCCTCTTGCTGCTTCTAATCTCTTCCCCTACAGTCGATTCCGAAACGGAACCTTTTTTAAATTCTTCCAAGTTGGCGTGTGGGACCAATTTCGTCACACTATCCGTAGTGGTCAACATGGCGGCGGCCGTAAGGTGGTTCCTTGGTAGAGGTAAAGCGGAGGGTTGTTTGGGATTGCGGGAAATATACCTCTGGTGCAGAATCTCCTGTTGGAGCAGAATGCAAGTCGGACTACCCTAGGCACGTGCCCACAATAGGTTTTGCTCTTTCTGCGCGCCAGGTTCACCATAAGGTTAATAATGTTTAAAAACGACCTTATCAGGAATTTCACTCCTTTCTAGAGCCGTCCTCGGAGTGGGAGGGGGCTGTATGTTGACACCCTTGACACCCTTTCACCCACGACTAGGGTCTGAGGCTGAGTCAGAGGTACATTTTCTATCGTAAGGGTGTGGGCTTGGGGGGAAAAGGTTTTTGATACTTAAGGTGAGCTTTTGAAAGGAAAAGATGGTATATACGAGTGGATTAAATCAGTAAATAGTTTACAAAAAGCCTATTGGTATTTTCGGACTACAACGTTACAAGCAATTCCATTTCTTAAACATGCACTTATCAGTTGGAAACTAATTTTATATTCTTGGTAGCAGCTCTTTTTAGCAGGTCCATTTTGTTGACTAGGATGACTATTTTTGGCACGATGCTTTTTAAAATTTGGTGGTGTATTTTTGAAGCACAGTAATTGTTGTTTAATGAGTCCTGAGAATATATGATCAAATTCATATAACTATTAGTGGCAGAGAGAACTTGTTTGCACTCCTAGACCGGGGGGGAAATTTTTTTTTTTTAAACTGCGGGTTAGTGTTCTATTTGAATTCCCACAAGAAAGGTCAGTTGCAAGACCAGCATTCTCTATTTGAGATAGTTATTGCTTAAAGAATAGGTGGGACAAGAGATCACAACAGATTTTGCTAACTACTACAAGCCAAAAAGTATATATTTACTGAAGAAAAAGAAGGATCGATGGTATTATCTTCATGTATCACAAAATATTGTCATATTACATAAACCTAGGAAACTAAAAAGAGAACCTCTCCTTGAAACATTTTCTGCTCTTGTCTTCCAGAAACCTCTCTCTTAACCTTTCTTTCAGTTTCACTTGGCACTTCTCACATTATTTTTGGTTCTCATCCTTTCCTCAGTCTCTCACTATGGAATGTCTTAGGAACTAGGAGTCCATCTTCCATCCTAAGGCCGCATGTCTCTGTGTCTAAATTCACTCATTTGGTATCATCCAAATCTTGTGATTTTAACTACTACCTATATCTTAATGGCTCTAAAGTTTATTACTTTTAGGGGCTCTCTCAAACTTTAGATTCCTAAACATTTTTCTGACAGTTCTAGATCTCCACTTGTATCTCATCAGCTGCTAATATTTGTCTGAAGTTAAACCCATTGTTGTTAGATGTAGTTTTCCCCCAGATCATTTGATGACAACTGTAGCTTGAAGGATTTACCAAGCCCAAACCTCAGTATCCTCAAGCCTCCCTCTCCCCGTTTTATCACATTTTCACATTAAATAGTTGGCAAATCCCATTTGTTTTACCCACAAATAAGTTCAGAGTCTGACTTCTCACTCCCCACTGCAACATACTTCCAAGTCATTACTGTCCCTCAACTGGATTTCTCCACAGGCTATTCTCAACAAGTAGAAAAATTGGTCCTTTAAGAATTTACATCATGTTGCTCTTGTGCTTTGCCTTTTCAAAACCTCACCATTTTCCTAAATCCAAAGTTTTTAGAATGGCCTGTGCACAGCTCTGCTATTTTGGTACATATGATTAGAACTTCAAATGTGACTAACCTGAATTGTGTCAAATACACATGAGATTTTGAAAAATTAGTGCCAAAAGAGGCAATACCTTTATAGTTCCTTATATTGGTATGTTGAAATGATATTTTAGAATATTAGATGTAATAAAATGTTAATTTTTATTACTAATTTTAGTGGCTTCCTTTTTATCTTTTTTATTATAGCAGCTAGAAAATTATGAATTATACTTGTGTTTCTCACATTACTTCCATTGGGCAGCTTAAAATCATCTACACTGTCTTATCTCACCCCTACTACTTAGATTACCTTTCTGACCTTGTGTCTAGCTGCCCTCCTCTTCCTTCACTGTGCTGGGGCCAACTTTGCCATAGTGTTCCTTAAACATTGCAAAAGGACTCCTGCTTTAGGAAGACTTTTTTTTCCTAGTGGAATGGGCCAGAAACACTTTTTATAGTTACTAGCATAAAAGAATTCCTCATTTCTTTCAAGTCTTTGTCAAGGCTTACCTTAATCGCCATTGCTTAAAACTGTAGCCTGCTTTCCCCTTCTCTCTATATCCCTTTTGTCCTATGGTACACTAACCACTCTGTTTTATCTTTATTAATACTGTTTATTCCTCCACCCCTGCAGATGTTAGTACCATAACGACAGTTATATTTATCTGTTTTGTTCACCTTTACGTTGTCAAATAAATGAGTGAGTGAATAAATGGATCTTTAACAAAATGTCACCCCTCTTCCATGTGTTTTGATGGATACTATTTTAAATAATTCAATCCCACTTTGTTGTTATTTGTTCAAATTTCTTTCCTTGATTCAAGAGATGTTTATTGTATCTTCATTTACCAAACTCTTTGCTTGGCATTAGGGACATAATAGCGAGTAGTCCCTGACCATGTTATCATCTATTGAAGAGCAGACATTAATTGGATAAGTATTTCTTAGGAACTGTTCTGAGTTTTCTAAGTTTCTGAAGGAAAAGGATGTATATGAGAGACTTATCTAGTCTGAGTCTTCAGGAAGGCTTCTGAAGAAGTAGCTTAAGAGTCCCTGAAATATCACTAGGTAATTTTAAATTTGTCATGGGAGGAGTGGAAAGCAGTAGGGGAGAATGTCACAGGTGGGGGGAAAATTATATTGAAAATCCTAAGGTGGTAAAAAATGTTAAATTCAAGTAACTGAAAAGAGGCCAGTGATTTTGAAGCATGGGAAATACAAGAGAAAGTGGTGTTAGATGGAATATATTTACTAGGCTAGGAGTAGCTTAGAGAGGACCTTGTTAAGAATTTAATTTAGGCCCTCCCTGGTGGTGCAGCAGGTTAAAGCACAGCACTAAGAAGCTAAAGCCACTTGAGCATGAGTTCGATCCCCCCCTGCCCCGTAGGTGACCACATGGCACGGCAGACCTCTCCTGACCCGCCCGCTGCTCCCCTCAGCAGTGTACTTCATGGATCTGCCTGTTCTGCTCCCCGCTCTGTCTCTGGTGAATCCTATCACTCTCTGCATCTCTGGCCTGTACCCCAGTTCTGTATGAATAAATAAATAAATCTTTAAAAAAAAAAAGAATTTAGTTTATTCTAAAAGCACGATGAAGGCTTCCAAGTGTTTTAAGGACATGAGATTTTTTTTTAAATAACCCCCCTGCCACTTGGAGAAGAAAGAAATGAAAAGGGCAGAGAGAAGACAGATTAGTTTGTAATCTTTTATAGTAGTCCGTGTGGTAGATGATAGTGGCCTGGACTGTACTGATTATAGTAAAGAACCAAATACTAGCTGGATAAGCTCTAGGGATAGTGGGGGTGATAGAGTCCATTGAGAATCCTTGAGAACTCTAACCTTTTAGTATCAGTTACAAGAATAAACTAGCAAGGAAATGGAGTAAATTTCATCTCATTACCAAAAGGTGAAGGTGGCATGAATAAAGGACTTTTGAAAAAATGTATGCAGATTCAGGGAAGTTTGTACATAGTTGAGGGCTTATGTAAGTAGTTAAGGGCTTAGCAAGTATAGCCAAGAATGAGAGAAGAAATGAGTGAAGGGATTGTAATAAAATAATGCATAGGCTAGTTGACTACAGAGTGGTTGAATATATAGAAGTAGTCTAAATAGTGCTTTTTAAATGGTTGTGTTTTTATAAGTTGGTTTCTGTATGTAGTAGTTTGATAGATTTCTGTTGAAAACTTTAATTCTGGCTGTCATGACTGGGAATTCTAAGTGGTAGAGATTGATTGTTGTACAGTAGATTGCAGTTGGTGTATATAAGAGAATTATTATTTTGAGGATATTACTAGTGTTGGTGGGTACTTGTTTAGTACAATTATGATTACTGTTTTGAAGTGTTTTCCTGACCTTGAGTGGATAATTGCTTGTTACTTCATTTCCTGTGTGTGGTCTTTTCAAGATACTTTATTTCTTACAAATGTGGAGAGTTATGGGTTCCTGTGAGCTGGCTAGTAGCTGAGCAACTGTGACCTATTTGCTATCTACAAATCACAGCAGAGAATTCTTTGACTACCTACAGAGTATAACTCATATCAGAGGCAGGGCCAGGGATGACTTGGCCACTGTTGACCTGATTACGTGACTATCTCTATGGTGGTCTTGGGATAACTCTGCCTGTGATAACATCAGATACTTTGCTGACACAAGTGTCTCTTGATGTATGGTCACAATGTCCCTTTCCCTGTCCTTGTAAAACTTAGTGCCCCATTCCTATTCTACCCTCCGGGCCTTATTCCTCATACCATTGTTAGCCTGCATGCTTTCAATAAATGGCACAAGAACTTGTGCATTCAAATTTACAAGAATGAATTCAAGCCAACTCAGCGGAAAAGAAGATATAGATGGCCAAACATACAAAAACATACTCAACCAGCTTATAAGAAAAATGCAAATTAAGACAGCTTTGCACACCATATTTTGTCTACTATAATGGCAAAGACCAAATGTTTGATAAACATACTGTGTTTGCATGAGTAAGTGGAAAACAAATGACCTTTTCTTTGCTGGTGGAAATATATAGTGCTGACATTTTAAGAGAGAAGTATTTGTCAAAATTACAAATATTTCTGTCTCCTGATGCAGCAAATTCCCTCCTCAAAATTTATTCTATAAATATATCTGTATGTGTGCAAAATGATGTATAGATATTTACTATAGCACTTTATAATACAAGTTTTGTAAATGTCCTAATGGTTGGTCACTAATTAATTATGATACAGTTGCACAGTGAAGTACTTTGCAACCATAAAAAGAGTTCTTAGGAAGTATAGAAAATTATTATAATGTGTGTATTCTATATATGTGTGTCTATATATGTGTGTGAAAGTGGACTGTAACACCTAAAAGTGAAAAAGCAAGGTGTAGAACAATGAGTGTGCCACCATTTTTATAAAAGAAGAAAGAGATAATATTTCTAGAAAGATTACTGAGAAATTGCTGACCAGAGAGGGAAACTGGGGGCTGGTGTGGAAGGAAGACTTTACTTTTGTATGTGCTTTTGAAACAATCTCTATGTACAAAAGAATATTTATAACATGCAAAAAATAACTTAAAATTCTGAGCACACACTATTAAGTTTCAAAAAATAGATTGTATTTTATCTTCAAAGGCCCAACTCCCCCCTTTTTTTCTTTATTTCTTTTTAACAGAATAGTTACTCCTTTCTTTTTTAAAGATCTGTTTTTTTTATGCAAACAAGAACAGGGGTACAGGCCAGAGATGCAGGGGTTGAAAGGATTCACCAGAGATAGAGTGAGGAACAGAACAGGTATCTACTGAAATACATTGCTGAAGGGAGCAGTGTGCATGTCAGGAGAGGTCTGCTGCCCCATATGAGCTATACCTCCCTGGCCAGGACCAAACAGTGGCTGTGGCTAGCTTCATAGTGCTACACTTCAACTCATTGAGCCACCAGGGAGGGCCCTGATGCTGGGTTTTGTTTGAAAATGTCCCATTTCCAAATATCATGAAAGTATTTTCTTGTAGTATGAAAGAAAGCCTTTAAGTTTGCATTCACATATGAGTCCTTACTTTACATTTGATTTTGTGAGTAGGTAGATTGAGATAGGAATCTAAATATATAGTTGACCCTCCCTTGAACTATGCAGGGGTTGAGGTAATGACCCTTTGCACAGTTGAACTGATTATCCTCAAGCTTAACCAATGGATTGCTGTTGATGGGAAGTCTTACTGATAGTATAGTTGATTAACATATTTTGCAAGTTATCTGTATTATATATTGTATTCTTAAAACAAAGTAATTATGGAAGAGAAAATATATTTATGGCATTTTATTGTCTATGAGTACTGCAAGTTCATGTCATCTGTTTACAAGGTGAGTGATTATGGGTATCTATAACAATATTGTCTTATACATAACACTATAGATGTTATATGTATTATTGACTTGACATCAGAAATAAAATGATAATGTGAGCAATAAATTTGTATTTCCTTACAGGTATAAAGATTCATTCAGTGATAATATTTATTGAAAAACGTCTATGTTGAAATGGACTCATACATTTCACAACCATGTTATTCAAGGCTCAGTTGTACTCTTTCCCTGTGGATAATTGTGTTATTGGCACTCACTGACCTCTTTGTACAGTCCTATGCAATAACATCCCTGTCATATTTCAGATGTTCATGTGAGCATGGGTCTGCTGTTCATTAGATCTGTTTATTGTTTTATTAGTTTGTCTTCCTATACTGAGCCAGTAACAACGTGTTTTATTATCATAGCTTTGTAACAAGTTTTGATGTCTGTTAAGGCTTGGATTCCTTCTACTTTCTTCTAATTCCTTTTTCTTTTTAAAATGTATTTATTTTTGCATAGAACAGGAGTTGGGCCAGAGGTGTAGGAAGGGTGTGTGTCTGTGGGGGTAATGTGAGGATTTACCAGAGACAGAGTGGGGAGCACAACAGGCAGATCTACTGAAATACACTGCTAAGGGGAGCAGCAAGTGAAACAGAAGAGGTCTGCTGTACCATGTGGGTCAGCCCCCTGGCCAGGGATTGAACTCAGGCCATAGTCGTGATGATAGTGTTGAGATTTAACTCCTAGGCCACCAGGGAGGCTCCTGTTCTAATTCTTCCGAAGTAACTTGGGCACCTGCATGAATAATATTATTTATATTAAAGAAAAAAGGATAAACTTTAAATTATTAAAAAAATCAGGATAATTGTCCATATTTCATAATAATAGAGATAACATAATCAGTTGAACCTAATAACTTAAGTTAAAAATATATGAAGACAAACATATCAATTGGATAGGTTTACTTGGCTTTAGTTTTGAAAAGTGTAGTTTACATTATTACACTTTGTAAAGGATGATAAAGAATCAGAATATTGAATTGTTTTTGGAAATCCTTGGTTAAGAATGTGAAAATTATGAAACTATTGCTATTAATATTTTACTTTCTTTTCCTTTCAAGTCTTGATACATCATCAAAAGTATAGTGATTCCAAGATGGTTTGTCATACAGCTCTTTATCCTTGTTCTGTGTACGTTCAAGTACCCAACAGATATTTTGCTGCTGCAACAAGGTAAGTATATTTTTTTGAAGTGATTTCATTTGCTATTATTTAAACATTAGATTGGAAAACATGCTTGATTTCATAAAGACATAATTGTAAAAGTTTATTATTCTGTTCCTCCTTATCATACTTAACCTTTTTTGAACACTGATATTCAGTATCTGATTAAATACCTTGTGGTAATATTAATGTGGAAACTATTGTTATGCTCTTTTTTTTTAAGATGAAAAGCATAGATTGTGTAACTTGCTTAAAGTCACAGAAAGTAAGTGTTGGAGTAATAAGAAATATTTTGTTCTCTGCACTCAGTTCCTGACACAAAGCTCCTAAAACCCTTGTAATCCTCCTGAGTGATATGAGTGCTAGGAACATCTTTTGTTCTGATATTTAGTCTTTGACCCAGTTTCTGATACAGAGCTCCTAAAACCCTTGTAATTTCCTGGGTTTTAGGAATGTCTTCTCTTTTAATGAGGTAACTCTCGGAGGGCTCCTGGATGGAGGTTGATCACCAGAAAGACTAAGATCAAAAGCTTGGAAAGTTTCCGTGCGCCTTTCATATTCCAGGGCTCGTACAGGGACCAGAGATTGGGTTCATAGTTGATCATGCTCATGTGTTAAAGCCTTAATAGAACTCCTAAGTTACGGGGTTTTGAGAGCTTCTGGGTTGGTGTATTTGTGCATGTGCCAGAAGGGTAGTTCTCCCAAACCCAGTGAAGACAAATTCCCACACTCCAGACACTTTTGTACCTTGCCTATCATATTCTTTATTATATGATAAACCAGTAAGTGTTAAGTGTTTCTCTGAGCTCTGTGAGCCAGTCTAGCAAATTATGAAGCTTGAGAGGAGGGTTATGGAATTCCCTGATTTATAGCTTATTGGTTGGAAGTATTCAGGCCTGGACTTGTGATTAGCATCTGAAGTGGGGGCAGTTTTGTGGAATTGAACCTTTAAGCAGTAGGATCTGATGCTCAAAGTAGGTCACTAGATACAGTATCAGAATTATATTGGATTATAGAAAATCCAATTAATGTTGGAGAGCTAGTTGATATGGGAAAAAGCCCACACATTTTGTGTCAATTGTGTAAGTAGGGGAAAATGCTTCTTACGCATTTATATACCCTATTCTGCACTTTGCTGGCTTTTACTTAATAGTATATCTAGAGATTTTTCAGATAGAGCTGTGTAGTCATTTTTTAAGATTGAGATCTAATATTAGTTTCAACTGTAGAACTTAATGAGTAACTATTTATATATACTCTGAAATGCTCATTGCAGTAAATCTAGTTAACATCCATTACCATACAGCCTTAATATTTTTCCTTGTAAAGAAAACTGTTATGATTTACTCTTAGCAACTTTCAAATGTACCATACTACAGTCACCATTATGCGCTCTCTATCCCCATGACTTGCTTATTTTATAACTTTAAGTTTGTACCTTTGACCCCTGCATTCATATTACCCATACTCAATTCCTTGCCCCTGTAAGTCACCAGTTTATTCTCTGCATCTGTGATTGTTTCCCCTTCTAGAATCCATGTATAAGTAATACCATATGGCATTTATCTTTCTCTGACTTACTTCTCCAATCATAATGTCTTTGAGGTTCATTTGTGTTGTCACAATATGACAGCATTTATGTGAATAAATGTATTCTTCATGTGTATATCTGCGTACATGTGTTTCGTGTATGTGTGTACACATGTGTATAAACACACATGCATGTATAATTTGTGTGTATACATGCACACATATATGTATTGTGTATCACATTTTCTTTCTCCATTAATCAATCATTGGGCACCTAGGTTGCTTTCATGTCTTGGCTAGTGTAAATAATGCAATAATGAATATGGACATTTTTATTTCATTGTGTAAATATGCTATAATTTACATACCCATTTTCCTTTTAATACACACTTACCTTTCCAATCTTTTCTGTTAAAAATTATCCTGTAATGTTTAATGTGTACATAGGTCTTGTTAAATATTGTGAAAATATTTCTATTATAAACTTTGAAAAATAAAATTGAGTCAAAAGATATGTGTATTTATAATTTTGAATGGTTACAACAAATTGCCTTCATAGAGATACAGTGTAGTAAAAATTTTTGAATTTTATCACTCAATTTGCTAAGTTATGAAATGGTATCATGACTTTAATTTATTCAATGATCATTGAGGTTATATAACTCTTTATATGTTTAAAAGTCCATATGTTTTCTTAATTCCAATTTTTCTGTTCATTTTTTTGTTGATTGGTAGGAACTCTTTCTATATTATAATTAGCATGCATCTTTCCTGTAACTTTAATATGAACTGAGTACAATCAGATCACAAGTGACAGCTTCATTAATTCTACTGGGAAAGAGTAGACAAAAGTTCTGAAGTGTGTCCTGAAAGATAGATAGGATTTTGCAGGGAAATTGAGGGAAAGATATTTCAGCGGCACAAAGGAGTGAAAGTGAATGTATGATGTAATGCAGTCTGATATGCCTTGAATATAAAAAGAAGGAGGAGGTGGCAAAAATGTAACTAGAAAGAAGGCTACATTTGTGTGTGAATATAACTTGGATTCATTTTGTTGCTGAGAAATTGGAGAGTATAAGTTGTGCCAAGGCTCCATCCCTACCCAGCATTGAGTGAAAACACCCACATTTTAACAACCCTGGATGTTTTCAACCTCTTTTTTGTTTCTTTAGTGTAGCTTTATATCTTTTGCCCATTTTTCTCATGGAGTGTTTTTTCCCTTCTGCCTTGTAAAAAGTATTTGTTTATTAGGGATATTCATTATTTTGAGCATATTTAATCTTTAAATGTTGGTTTCTTTTACTCTATAGAAGTTTTTCATTTTATGTCTCCACTGTATTCTATTTCAGTACAACCTTAATAGTATTTCCATTCACCTTAAAAGCATTTCTTAACATAGCTAAGTAATATGTCTACTTAAAAAAAGGTAGAACAAATTATTAGCAGTTGATTTTTTTCCATGTCTGACAATGAGAGTTATTCAAAAGCTTGATGAGAATCATAATACTAATAATTTTAGTTGTGGGTTTTAGTATTTTTAATTACTGACTTACATTAAATGGTTTTTCATGACTGGTATTTTTAATCAGCATCTGAGATAAGGTAAAAGAATTTGCACTTCCTCTCTCTTTTCTCTTGTTATTTCTAATCTCTTCATACCTCCATGTATATGTGTATACTCATTGTTTGCCAATGGTAGATTCTGATTAAAAAAAAAAAAAAAGACCCCTGGGTCATCTCTGAATCTGGTTCTGTGTCTCACTTGACAACAGTAGGTTCTTTTTCTTGCTTCTTCGTTCACCTCAATTTTTTTGTGTTGAATGCTGTACACCTGTGTAGAACAGTGGAGAATGAAGAACAGTATTTATGCTTGGAAAATCACATGCCTCTTCTCTTAGAGCATTGAGTCAGTACTATAGAAGTAGATCTAAGGTATTTTGTTGTTGTTGGTATGGTAACCACCAGTGCAAATTTCTTTACTGCTACCTCTGTTTAGGATGAGAGATGGGTTGCTGGAAGATTATTCTATGGGTTCCTTCTCTTCCTCAGCTTTCTGCCTGTTTGCCTCAGGGAGCTTGGAGGGGAGATGTTCTCTTCTTACTCTTACATCTCCGCTGGTAGTACTTATTGCTTGTTAGGTTGATGATGGGAGCAGGAGAATATCTGTTTTTCACATTTAGCCTTCATCTTAAGTAAGTCCAGTGTGGCTGGGCCTTGGGGATGGGGCTTTCTCAGTATGTATGTCCCTTCTCTCCATGGCATGTATCTTGTTGTGTCTTGTGGGAGACTCTGTGGACCTTCTCTAGATTTTTTGGTAGAGGATATTGTGATGTTCTTCTCAGGACTGTTTCTCATCCTATACCCAGGAATAGAATTCTTTGCATTTCTTTTTTTCTTCCCTTCCCCTTCACACAATGGGTGCTTGTTTGTTCCATAGAGGATTTCAGGGTTATATACTTTTCCACTAGTAGTAGCCATATCCTCTAGGGAGGCTTCCTGGCTGCTCTGGTTTTTCCCAAGTGCACCTTATGGAAATCTGTGCAAAGGGCTTTCCAATTGAGTGTGAATTCCCCTTATAACAGTGTTTCCCAGGGGTAGGTGTGGGTGTTATATTTCTGAAATTTTAGCTGAATTTTTTTCCTTATCTGTGTGCCTTCTTTCCATATTCTGAGTCTAATGAAGGTAGAGTGAAGTTGGTATCAAGGGTGATTCTTCTTGGATTTCAGGCCACTCAGTTACCCTACAATCTCAGCCCTGTAATAGGTCTAGAAAAGTGATTTTATCCATCTCTTTCTTAATTGTTAATACTCTTTCCAGCTTTTATTTTTAAATTTTTCATTTATTTGTATTATTATTGATTGGGTTTTTCTCTGTTACTCTTACCTTTCTAAATAGAAGCAGAACTTCTGCATTTAGTTTGATGACTAAACCAGCATTAAAGATGTCAGTGAATCTCTGATTACACTGAGAAATAAAAATTCCATACATTTGCATTTCCTTAATATTTCATGACCTAGGCATGTTCTTTTTAGTTCCGTTTAATTCAGTTTAGTTTGACATCCTTATTCATACCATCTATACCTAATTCTTCTGTATAAAGGGGTTGTCCACCTTGGAAAGTCTCGGATTGGTGTCTCTGGGTTCCCAGATCTTCAGAGATCCTGAAGAACTTTATTATAATTCCATTTTCTTCCTATGATGATTAATTTGGGTAGGACTATGAAATTATTTTTTTCTTTGTGCTTTTGGAGTTAGGGGACAGATGAAGCAGAGAGAAAGTTAGTATCTAAGTATGAGTGCTTATTACTCATTTAATCTGTGTGGTTTAGTTACCCAGGTAACTGCAGTTAAATTCTGTTCTCTTCAATACAAACTGCAAGGCATTTCTCCCTCACCTTCCCTAAAGCCTTTCTAGTATGATTTATTTTCCCATAGGATCACAGTATTTAAGCTTTCTTGATAGGACCTTATGTAATTGCATAAAAAACAAGTTCTTCTAGATGTGACTCTTTCTGAATAAAGGTAGCATTTTTCGGAGAGTAATGGAAAATAAGCAGTGGATTTATAAGATTAGTTGTTTTTGATAGATTTTGTTTAATTGGGGTCTTTTTTTGGAGGGGAGTGTTTGCCTTAGAGTCCTGTTTATGTTATAATGATGTACCTTTTTTAAAATAACAAAAGCAGTGTTTTACTAGTAACATAAAAATATTTTTACTGAAATGTTTCAAATATTTTGTGAAACAAGGTCCAAAGTATAAATAAACAATTTGTTATATTGTTTATGTGGGGTTATATACCAACCACACTCTACCTGCATTTATATATCTAACTCAGCTTGTGTATCAGACTTTTATTGTTCATTTAAAAATCTTATTTCAGCCCCAGGAACTTCTTTCATGCTAACTGCAAATTAAGTGGACAGGTTTACGTAATATAAAATTTAGTGATGAAATCAGCATTTATGTAAAGTAAATCTATAGATTATAGCTAGGGATCATTTTGTTTAGATAGAAGTTTATTATTATAACAGGTTTCTTAGATTCTTTTGTTATTTCCACTGCTCTTTTACTGAATATAAAATTAAAATGTGAATTTTCTAGTTTGGAAAGCTTTAGGATTTAGATGAGTACTTCCAAGGCAGCCATTGAGGTGTGTTATATCCATCCACTTGGCCACCTGCTTAGATTTGTTGTCAGGCCAGAAGGACACCTGTGTCCTATTAAAAATGAACATTGCCATTATGTGCTGTTCTGTTGAATTGCTCATTAGCTGGGAGGATACTATTATTAGTTGTTGTAATAAGGCTTCATTGAATGCTAAAAGTGAAACGAAATTATATGTTAGATTGGTTTCAGAGATTTAAAAAATTATTATACTGTTAACCATTTTTAATGGATCTTTATTACTTTTATACTGTGATAACAAATTATCCCAAACTTTCATGATTTAAAACAACCCAAATATATTATGTTGCAGTTCCATCAGTCAGAAACCTGATATTGATCTATTTAAGCTAAAATCAAGTGTCAGTAGGGCTTAATTTCATCCTAAAAGGTCTTCAGGAGAATGTTTACATGTCATTCTCAGCTTGGAAACGCTGCCCACATTCTGAAATAGAAGAAATACAGGGGATGGGGTTGACACAGTTGGGTCCTCACCCAAATGCTTAACATAAGAGTGGAGACAATTCGAAAGCAAGCATTGGGCTGGAAAAATCATGATGCATTTTTGCTTGAAAAACATAGCAAAGTTGGCATGACTTTTCTCACAAATAATAACAGAGTTTATTTATATCAGGAGTGAGAAAAGGGAGAGTTGAGAGAGACAAATTATTGGCTACCACGTGGCCAGATATCATCTGCCTACCCCATATGGCATCTGTTGAGCAGAGACTAGGGTCCAAGCCAAAACCACATGAGGTAAACTGGTGGCCTCTCCAGGGACATCACTTGTTGCCAGCAGTTGGACTGCTTTAAGCCCCAGTGTTTTTATTGTCAAAATTCTATCTCTACCTGTTTCATGTCAGTCTTGTGGGATATCAGTGAATGGAGTCTGGGAAGCTCTGTCTTCTACCATTAAGTGTCATTACCAGCCTGTGGCTTGGAGATCACTCTTCACTGTTCCTCTTACAATTCATTGACTTGTGCTCCATCCCCCACCTCCATTTTCAAAGCCAGAAATGGCAGCTTGAGGAAATTTGAGTTTCCTGTCTTTTGATCTCTGTTGGAAGCAAGTGAGAAAGGGGAAAGTTTTTTTGCTTTCAAGGACTTACATGATTAAATTGGGCCCAGCAGGATAATCTCCCTATCTTGAGGTCTTTAATCACATCTGCAAAGTATTTTTAGCAATGTAGATATATAAACATCTTTGGGAAACCAATATCTTGCCAACCTCAGAACCCCAGCATCTTTCTAGAATATTTTGTTAATTTAAAAATTTATATGGTTAAAGATTATAGATGTCATTTGAAGTAATGGTGAGAAAATATGTCACATCTAGTTCTGTCTTTTCTTTTTAGTTTTGCAGTCTTACCTTCTATTACCTGTTGAACTTATTTTCTTAGATATTTTATAAACATCTTGTTTGTTTTGTTATGAAACAAGCAACCCTGTGATTATTTATCATTGCCCACACATCTATAAGTCATCTGGTCTAAGCTAGGTTTGGTTGGTTGTCCTTGATGACCTTGTTTGGGCTTGCTGTACAACTGTGAGTCTGCAGATCAGCTGAGAATTATCTAATCTAGCCTGGGGCTCTGTGTAACCAATGCTGTTCTTCTGTCTCTCATCCTCCCACCTTTGGACTAGCCCAGGCATATTCTTCTGTGAAAACAACAGAAATACAATCCTACAAATGCAAACGTATGAACCCTTTTATGACTTACACATAGAATAAAGAAAAATACTCATTTGATTTCTTCTTCTATTGGCCAGAAATAGTCACATGGCTAAATCAAGGTGCTGGGGAATATATTCTACCGCTTTCAGTGAGAAAAACTTAAAATCACTTAGGAAAAGGACTTGAATGGTGAGAATTAAAGAACTGTGGCCAATGATGCAACGAACCCCAAACTCAAACTCTGGAATGCCCCAAATTGAACTCATCTCTGACTCCTAGTTTTGTTTTCTTTATTTCTGGTCTAGGTCTATGACTAATCAACCAATCAGGCAACTAAAGAAGTATTCAAAAGTCTTCTCTTTGTCTTTTCCTATCTTCAATATTTACACTATAAATACCTCTCATCTCTCATCTTAAGCATGTTACCAACACTGTTCTGATTTAGACTGTCATATTTCTGGAGAGGAAGGAGTGGCGGTGGTGATAGAACAGTCTCTTAAATGGCTTCAGACCAACTTCCTTCACATTTATTCCTTATATGTTATAGCCATAATACTCTGCTTAAAATATGTCACTCCTATTTAGGCTTTTCACTGCACCTAGAGGAGGCCTTTGGTGATCTAACTTCATAATCTGCCTATTTTCTGCCTTCTCCTTTACACATTATTTCAGGAGTCAGCAATATATTGCCAGTGAATTAAAAAAATTTAGACTGCCACCTGTTTCTGTGTGGTTTTGAACAAAGAATGGTTTTTATGCTTTTAAGTGAATGGGGAAAAAGAACAATATTTTGTGACCCATGAAAATTATGACATTTCAACAAGTCCATTTAGTTCTTTCATTTTTGTATTGAGTATGGTTGCTTTCTCATCAAAGAAGTTGAGGCATTGAAATAGTGATTATTTGCTGTCTGTTCCTTTACAAAAAAACTTTGCCAAGACTTGCTGTAATTAATTAGAATTTATAATTGATTATAAATTCTGTTTCATGCTTCAATACTTTTATTGTGTTATGTCTTTGCCTGGCTAAGTACTTTATTAAATAATAGCTTTATTAAGCAATAACTTACATACTTTATAACCTATGAAAGTGTACAATTCAGTTGTTTTTAGTATATTCAAGAGTTGTTCAGTCATTCCTACAGTCAGTTTTAAAACATTTTCATTACCTTCTCTAAGTCCCATGCACATTAACAGTCATTCCCCATTTCCCCAAGCCCTTTCACGAACTTTGGAAACCACTTATTCTACTATCAGTCTCCATAGCTTTGCCCATTTTTGATGTCATATAAATGAAGTCATGTAATATGTGGTCTTTTATAACTGGCTTCTTTCATTTAGCTTAATGCTTTTAAGGTCAATATATATTTAGCATGAATCAGTACTTTAATCCATTTTAAGATTGGTGATTAATATTTCTTTGTATGGATTTACCACATTTTATGTATTTATTCATCAGTTGGTGGTTGTCTGAGTTTTAGCTTTTTGACTTATAGGTGATACTGCTATGAACATTTGTGTACATGTTTTTATGTAGTCATAATATTTTCATTTCTCTGAAATATGGACCTGGACTTAAATACCTTGTTACCCTTCAAGAATTCATTTTGGGTAACAAAATTGCTTGTGGAAGCTTTCCCTAGTCTTCCATGCTGGGCAAAAAATGTCTTTTCCTTAAGCCTTCTATAACACTCTCATGATACTTTCCCCATTATATTGAAATTATCTCTGTGTATGCCTATCTCTATTCCTCTAAGCTTTAGGAGAGCTGCATCAGTCATGCCTTTCTCAACTTTGTGTCAACAGAAAATAGTGCAGAAGTTCATTTAATAGTTGTTGAGTTAGAGACACTTTAAAGCAACCTGTGCTTCTGAATGAAAATAAGCTTTATCTTGTGTTATTTTTTCTGTCTTGCATGTGTTGACTTTTAAAAAATCTCTTGAACCAGATACTGATGTAACTAATCTCAAATTTATCTTTAAGGCCTGCAAAGAAAACCAAAAAAGGTACCAAAGAAAAAGCATCAGATGATAAAAAAGATGAGGTAGAAAAAATAAAGTCATACCCCTATATGGAAGGTGAACCTAAGGATGATGTCTACTTAAGACGCCTATACCCAAGACAGATATATGAGTTGGAGAAGGCTGTTCACTTACTTAAGAAATTTCAAGTTCTGGATTTTACTAACCCAAAGCAAGGTGTTTATCTTGATTTGACACTGGACATGACACTGGGAAAGAAGGTATATAAATTTTGCCAACAGTGGGTGTATGAATTGTTTCTTAATTTGTTTAAATTCTTGCCTATGATAATTTTCTGAAAATCTTTTGCTCTTTATCTACTTAGTATGAAAACTGCTTTTTTAAAATTTCCCAAATATAAAATAAGATACTGAATATACTCTGTAGTTGATAAACATATATCTTCTATTCATCTGAATTATTGATGTAAATTTCAACAAAATATTGTTAAAAGTAATTATTACTATAATGTAATAATTTGTAAAATTAGTTAAGTTCTAGGTGTCATGTTTCTTTTCTGTAACAGGGCTTTGAATGAACTTTGTGACCTTCACTTGTGTTCCTGAGAGTCCCAGTTTGACACTAAGTTTGCATGGGTGGAGTACTGTTGGCTCTCACTCTTGCTTCAGCCAGAGCCTCTGCTTATCTATTTAAATATTGCAGTTCCATGGAAAACCTTTGTTTATAAAACTCTAAAAGAAGGAAAAACACTAGATTAGAATTGAGGCTAATTTATGTACAGCTCTAAATTTTGTAAATTTTTTTTAATAAATCGAATTATCTTGGATATTATAATTTAATTTTTAATTTGAGAATTTTTATTTTTGGGTCAGAGTAGAAAGTTGAAGTGTTTGAATGCAACTTAACAATATTAGCAGTAACAATAGCAACGTAACCCAGCATTTAGGAGGAAGCAATGTAGTTTAGTGCTTAAGAGCATGGGCTCTGGAGTCAGATTACATTACAGGCCAGAATTTTGACATCACCACTTAATTGTTCTTTGATCTTGGTCTTTCTGGTCAAAACCTCTTCAAATTTCAGTTTTTCCTGTATGTTGTATAGTTGTAGTGAGGATTAGATGAGGTAATGCTAGTAAAGGAGTTGGTGTTTAATAATAGCATCAACATTTACTGGAAACTTTATGTATCAGCCACAGTGCTAAATGTTTTGCATGCATTTTCTCATTTAGTCCAGTAATAATCTCAGAAGAGGAAGTTGAGACACAAAAAGGCAAGTAAATTGCTCAAAGTTACAGAATGGGGATTATGGTTAGGAATTGAACCAAGTTTATTTTTTCATTCTTATTTATTAAAAACGATTTAAAGCAGCCATGTTGCAATTTTATTTTCTATCATTGTGTTACTGTTCTTTTTTTTTTTTTTAATGTTCAGTGTCTAACATGATCACTTTTTTTCTTAAGTCCATCATTAATATCATTCAAAACAAAGACTTGCAGGATCGCAAGCTGCACTTCACAAATAGAAACTAACAACTTTTTAAGAGTATTGTCTTTCTGGAAACATTTTTTCTTTTTCACTACAACAATCTACGATTCCCTAGGAGATGTTATTATTGTGATTGACTCTGATTGAAAAAATGTACTGGAACCAGTTATGACTTGTTGATGGCAGAGGAATGTCAGTCAATAAAGCTGAGTTGCATGTCTGGTATATTGTTCTTAAGAGTTTGTACCTTCTTTTCTGAAAAGAGATCCTCAGGAAATTATCTCTACCCAAAATAAAGTTTCTCTTAAAAAAAAAGAAAAACCTTTTAATCAGTTTTCATTTGGGAACAAATAGTTTTTGTCTTTTCTTCTAGATTTAAGGCTGTACCAAAACTTTGGCTCTAGAATTTCCATGGGAAGTCTACTTAAGAAATCTAAGCCACAGGCCTAGACAGATCCATGACCTGAGCAAATTAGTTCTGAGGCCCTTCAAAATCTCCACCCATTTTAGAATGCCTCAAATGCCTAGCATTGTTTATTTTGAATTTTCCTACTGAATTTCTAAATATATCTGAAAATGATGGTGGTTCAGGTTTTTCAAAATAGATCCACTCAGAACCTTTGGTATTCTGACTTACATTTATTATCACTTGATAGTTTAGAGCTAATGACGGAGATAAGGGGTAACCTACTGAACAGATCAGCAGGATAGTGTAATTCAGTATGCATAACTTTGTTCATGGCTTCCTTGATGGCACCAAACAACTACATGTAAATTTAACTCAATGTGGCAAACATTTTTTGACATCTATCATGTAGAAAGCTTTATTGTACTGCATGCTGGGAAAGACATGGATATGCAATTGCATCTTTTAATATAGGAGACTCGATAAATGATATACAGTGCCAAGTGTCATGAGACTATAGAGTGGGGAAGAAATTTAGATTTTCTTTGTGATTTCTTATAAAAGAAATATAAACCAATATGTCTAAAATTGTCAGCAATGAGTAGTTCTGGATTAATGAGAGGCATATGATAGAACTAAAACAAAATGTGTCAATTCTGTTTTTATAGAATTTTTCATAATTCTTTTTCCATTGTTTTGCATTTAGAAAAAAGTGGAGCCATTTGCCAGTGTTATTAGTTTTCCATACCCATTCATTTCAGAAGTTAATAAAGTTGCTGTATTTACTGGGGTGAGTAGCTTTTATGTACTTTTTCATTATTTTTACATATTACATATATCAATGATTAGAATAAATCAATGAGTAGAGTTAGAGAAAATCCTAGCAGTTGAATCCTGCATTTGAAGCAGTTTATTCAGTGTATTTAAGGACATGTTTTTAGTTTGAGAGGGAGCTAAAGTAGAACTTTAATTTCATCATTATTAGTCTACCATTTCCACAGAAATGGTAGAGAATTACAATTTATCATACTAACTACTGCTTCCTACTGGAACTTCTCGAACAAAAACTAAAAGATTTTTTTAAAGAAATGGGCTCATTTTGTGTTGAAAGCACAAACTACAACTTTTTAAAAATTCTGGTCTGGAAAGTCAAGGATATGACAAATACAGTGCAGTTATTTGTCAATATTTTATTTTAAACATTTGTTTACTAATTTTTTAATTTTCTGTCTTTCCCACTTTCAAGGAAGGAAGTCTCTTTTTCCAGAAAGGTGGGAAATGTAGCTATGTATTTGGAATGCTATAAAACTTCAGTATAATCAAATGTTGTAAATGAAACAGAAGAAAATAACCAGCACTTTGCTTTCTCTTTTGCATTTTCAGATGACTGGCTAAATTTTTTTTTCTATCATTTTGTAAACTTTTTTCTCTTCTATATTGGTTAAATTTCTCTAAATTAGCGAAAGAACAAGATTTTAATATTTTACTTTTGTAAAATGAAGTATTGATAGCATTGGTAACTTAGTTTGCACCATTAGGTTGCTTCCTAATTACCCTTTTCAAGTATGTATTCATATTTTAATCACCTACACCTACAAACTAAACTTGTTCTGAATATGTCTCATGCACCTAACTAAAAATGTATGCATAACAATAAAAAGTAAAAACCACAATTTTTTATTTTGAACTGTGATATTCTGACAAAATATTTGAAAGCAGACAGAATTTGTTTAAACTTGATATTCAAACTGTTGTGTTTTGATAGAATGCTTCAGAGATTAAAATAGCAGAAGAAAATGGAGCTGCATTTGCAGGTGGAACTAATCTGATTCAAAAGGTATGATGTTTTTATGTTCATTAGTTATAGAAATTGTTTATCTTTTCCATTGATTGATTTCTTACTTGTGAAACATAACTACATTGCTCATATCTTTTAAAATAAATGGTTAGCAGAACTTTTATAGAACAGGGAAATTTCTTCAAACTCAAAATCAAGTTAAGAAAAAATTATAACAGAGCATCATATGTTCATTGTGCTTGACTTATATTGTGATTGTTCTTCTTTGCTTCCTGTATATTTGTGAGAGTTTTGCGGGTAGATTAGAAAGAACATTAATACTTTGGTTATAAATGTTAATATTAAAAATGAAATCCAAAAGATAGTACACATAGATATCTGTATTCATATTTTAAAGCATTAATATGTTTTGCTGTCTTAGATTGAAAAATATGATTAACTTCTGTAAATGACAAATGATAGTATCTGACTTCTATAAATAGGACTTTCAGTTACTCATAACTTTTACCCACCAAGTAGTTCAAATTGGCATAGGCTCAGCATGGAGACAGCAAAGGACTATGAAGCTTGCCTTGGAAAAATGACATTTGAAACAAGAACAATTTGAAAGTAACATTTGAAACAAGAATAGCATTTTTTTAAAAAGGTGGGAAAAAGAGACATGTCCTTTGAATTTTCAGTTATTTCTGAAAATGCAAATGTTTTTCCTTAATGTTCTCTAAATCTTTTTTTTTTTT